GCCTCTCCTGTTGACATATTAATGTTATGTCCTGCCTCTCCTGTTGGCATATTAATGTTATGTCCAGCCTCTCCTGTTCACATATTAATGCTGTGTCCAGCCTCTCCTGTTGGCATATTTATATCATTTCTTGCTGCTCCTATTAAACATAAATGTAATTACCTGCCGTTACTGTAAAAAGATTAATGTGATTTTCCGCCGCTGTTGCTTAACATTAATATTTTCTCCATTAATGTTATATTGTTAAGTATTATTGTTATGTTCAGCATTAATAACATATCCTGTGGCTCTGTTCAAGATTAATCTTATTACTTCTATCCTAAAGACGCAATACAAATTGAGATTGTTAGAAGAGCACAAAAAAAGTGCAGAGGCTTGCGTGGAAGAATCCAAACTATCCGATAATTTGAAGGCCGATCTCTGCAAAAACGCGGGCGGTAAATAAAATAAATAAATAAAAACTGCACAAACATATCAACATATCACAAGCCTCCAGTCGAGATAGCAGACAAATATAAAAGGAATCCAGAGCGCAATAAGCCTTCGAGATGGAGGTTGAAATTAAAGAGTACCTATTGCAACGTCCAAAAAAAAACACTGACAATTTAACCAAAAACTAATTCCACATGAATGAAATTCTCCAATTCAACGCTTTTTAAAGTTGCCAAAAAAACTCCATAAAGAATTTTTAAATCTTCAAAATATGTTTATAAAGAAAAAATTGTAGCCGAACATCATGCGTGTCTCTATAGATGTTTAAATAAACGATGCTTCAAATCGATACCAAAAAATTAATGCCACAAGACAACAAAAATTGAGCCTCTAATTTGAACCTAAATAATTAAGCAAGAAAGAGTCAAGCTTGAAGTGTACCTCAAATTGCCACTGAAGATTTAGATTAATTTAAATATTTTTCTAACTCATTAGTGCGAGTTTAAATGTCGCGTCACTCGCGCGATGAACTATCAGATTAAAATATCCCATGACCTGTGCGTGAACATAAGAACAGAGTTCTCATGTTCATCGCGTTCTTATAAGAACGCGATGTTCTTATAAGAACGTAATTAGTTCTTATAACAACGTAATTACTTCTTATAAGAACGTAAAATATCTGGTGACCTGCTCTTACAAGAATGTAATTAGTTATTTTAAGAACGTAAAATATCGGGTGACCTGCGCGATGAACTGTATGATCTTGACGAAGATATTAAGGGGCGTGTCGCGGGGCACGACGGTCTTGGAGCCCTTGGGGAAGAGGGAGTTGACGATGCTGGCGAGGCGTGAGTGCGTCGCAGAGTTGCTCTCGCACTTGATGCGGATCATGTACACCCACAGCAGGCGGTACAGCGACTCTGCGCACACGCGTGGTGAAAATCTTCAATTCAAAATGATGTAAAAACGTTCAATTCAATTGAAATTTTTTAAAAACGTTTAATTCAAAATGTTTAAACGTTGAACTAAATTAAAAAATTTTTAAAAACGTTAAATTCAATTAAAATATTTTAAAAACGTTCAATTCACTTCAAAATATTTTAAAACCATTCAATTGAATTCAAATTGTTTTAAAACGTTCAATTCAATTCATTTTAAAACGTTCAATTAAATTTCAAATGTTTCAAAAACGTTTAATTTAATTAAAATTGTTTTAAAAACGTTCAATTCAATTAAAATATTTTAAAAACATTCAATTTAATTAAATTTATTTTAAAAACGAACAATTCAATTAAAATTATTTTAAAAACGTTCAATTCAATCCAAAATGTTTTAAGAACGTGCACTAATGTATAAGATTTAATTACCTAAACCTTACCTGTAACATGAAGGCGAGCAAAAATCATCAGATGAAATGATACTCGATTGCAGGATGGCCAAGCCTACACGAAACGCTGCTACACATCACTAACTGATCGGCATAATATTTATTTTCCTGCCATAAAACTGACTACCTTATCATGATATGACGAATATGTGGTATTTTTTGAAGGTACCACTTGTAGGACCATTTGTATTACCAGAGGAAAGTAATGCTGGGGCAGGGCTTACCTAGCGCGACCCTGGCCATCTTAGGGTCCCTGTTCTTGAGGTGCTGGAGGCACATGGTCAGGAAGTAATGCCAGTTGGACAAGAAGAAGCTCTTCTGCGAGACACACAGCAGGCAGGTCAGGAGCGGGAAGATGGCGAGCTTGTGTTTGTTCTTGGTGGCGGTGTCCAGGGTGCTCGCGTACAGCATCTCCACGAAGTTCTTTAGACAAGGAACGTTCACTTCGTTCTTCACAGCCTGTGCAACGGAACAGAGAAAAATATAGATCAGTACTCACTGCAGTGAGAGGCAGAGCGCATTTTCTCGACCGTCCGTGACGTGAAGTCACGGACGGTCATGACGAGCACAATGGCGCCTTTTTTTAATAAATGAGAAAATGCCTTAAAAACAATTACATATGCAAAGTATTTTATTATCGCATTAGTAATAAACCATTCACATGAGCCAGACAAAAAAGTTGAATCTTTCTTGGACGACGCATGCACGGCGTACAAAATATAATGAATTTTCAGGAAGAGAATAAATCATCACATTTATGTCAGACCACTAATTTGTTCATTAAAAAGTTCTTCACAAGGACGGAGTTATAGTATTGAGAAACAAGATTGGGGTAAGAACTTTAATCGCGACTGAACTCTTTATGGCGAACAAACAAAACTCTTAACGATACTGAAAACATTGATCAAATTTAGGATTAATGTTAGCTATGTCTGATTAGATTGATGCGAAAAGACCAACCGACACTTGGCATCATCATGAAACTTAGGCCTTCAATAGGCGGTTATAAGGTCGGCGTGCGCGGTAATTCGCCATGAACCTTGCAATGTGGACTGCGTTGACCGTCCAAGATGGACAACAATCATACATACTGCCCTCTAATACGGTTAAATTAAGCCCTTGCTTTTGTTATCCATTCATCTTATTTTCAACGTGTGTTCAGAATTTATCACTGTATCTTACATGACCGAGAGAGATTGCATGCAGTCCAATTTTTTATTAGTTATATTATTATTGTAATTTTGTTTGCTTATTATTATTGTTATTTATTATTGTATTTAAATTAGTTTATTATGATTAGTTTATTCTTATTATTATTTTTTATTATTTTATTACCTTATTATAGCTTATTCTTATTATTATTTATTTCAACATTTTATCTTGCACGACCCAGCGGAACTACTGACGGCGGCGACGGGGACGAGGATCTCGACGAAGAGGCCGGCGAGGGCGTGCTTGACGTCCTTGTCGCGCACCTCGAGGAAATACTGCGCGCACTCCTGCAGGAACTGGAAGGATGCCTCGAACTCCTCGATAGGAACCATCTGCAACACCAGCGTTAGACATCAGGCACTGTCTGCAACACCAGCGTTAGACATCAGGTGCTGTCTGCAACACCAGCGTTAGACATCAGGCACCTTGTCGATCGAGCAAGAATCTGCATTAATTTCTTCATCGATCCGCTCTAATCTTCATCGATCGATCAAGACCTGATTGACTGGGTATAGTGCTTATAAAACAATCTCTGTAACTAAGTACTCATAATTTAAAGTATGAGTCAAATTCTTTGTAACTAATTACTCATAATTTAAAGTATATGTCAAATTGTCTGTAACTAAGTACTCATAATTTAAAGTATATGTCAAATTGTCTGTAACTATAAGTACTCATGATTTACAGTGTGTGTACAATTACGGGCACGAGAAGAGACAAGAGTCAGGTATACAGAAGACAACTAACAGCATTCCTGCGATCCCGTCACTGTCCAATAAATATCAAGCTACTAATCACTATGATCAGGCAATAATAACAATCTTAGATTAAAATGAGGATCAGCCAAGAATAATTTGACCCTAAAAACAGTGAAAATTACATAAAACAGTGAAAATTACACGAAAAAATTTGCCATATCATTATAAGAAACTTTTCGGAGTCCAATGGAAGGTTTAGAAGATTTGGTGAATTTTGCGAGATTTTCTTATTTCGGTCTCCACATCTCTAGTTAATTGACGCTACAATCAAATGAGCAACATCAACAATTGACGCTGTCTCACCTTAACCCTGAAGAACTTCATGCCCATAAGCAGAGCCATGATGTTATGCGTAGTGTGCGCACTAGACTCATTAAGCTCGTTTGTCTCACCTTAACCCTGAAGAACTTCATGCCCATAAGCAGAGCCATGATGTTATGCGTAGTGTGCGCACTAGACTCTTTGCTCCTGAGCTCCTTGAGCTCGAGCATGAAGCGCCGCCGTACGCTCTGGAAGCGAGACTGCGCCAGCACCCCGACCACCTCCGCGTACAGGTCGGCCACCACGTTGATGTTAGCGCAGTTTGGGTTCATTTGTACGCTGCAATATAAACATTAATGTTGACAGTCTTATTAGCGCAGTTTGGGTTCATTTGTACGCTGCAATATAAACATTAATGTTGACAGTTTTATTAGTGCAGTTTGGTTCATTTGAATGCTGCAATACAAACATTAATGTTGACAGTCTGAGGAGTGTGTGAATGAGGTGATGGGATAATATTACATTATGACCATTATTATTGGTGCAATTTGGGTTCATTTGTACGCTGCAAAATAAACATTAATGTTGAAAGCCTATAGTGAGTGTTTGAATGTGATGAAATTACAGTCTGGTGAGTGCTTGAATGAGGTGATGAGATAATATTACATTATGACCAATATTGTCAGTGCAGTTTGGGCTCATTTGAACGCTGCAACACATACATTAATGTTGAAAGCTTGATGATTTTTTGAATGATTTTATGAGATGATATTACAGTGCATATAGCAATCATAGAAACATGATGCATCTAGCACCATCACCAGTTACCCGTATGGTACATGCGCAACTCTTATAACTTGCCTAACCATGAGTTAACGAGCAGCCATCCATGCGTCACACATGTTGCAATTGGACACTTTGCTACAGGAAATATTTAGATTTAATTGGCTGTGGCTTCACACTTCCCTGCTTTTGACTCACCCATGTCTCACCTGACCCTTCCTCATAGCATCCGACTCACCCCTCCCTATGCCTGACTCACCCCTCTTGCACCAGACTCACCCCTCCCTGCACCAGACTCACCTCTCCTGCACCAGACTCACCCCTCCCTGCACCAGACTCACCCCTCCCTGCACCAGACTCACCCTCCCTGTGCCTGACTCACCCCTCCCTGCGCCTGCCTCACCCCTCCTTCACCAGACTCACCCCTCCTGCACCAGACTCACCCTGTCTCTTATACACATCTAGATGTGTATAAGAGACAGGATCAGTACTCACTGCAGTGAGAGGCAGAGCGCATTTTCTCGACCGTCCGTGACGTGAAGTCACGGACGGTCATGACGAGCACAATGGCGCCTTTTTTTAATAAATGAGAAAATGCCTTAAAAACAATTACATATGCAAAGTATTTTATTATCGCATTAGTAATAAACCATTCACATGAGCCAGACAAAAAAGTTGAATCTTTCTTGGACGACGCATGCACGGCGTACAAAATATAATGAATTTTCAGGAAGAGAATAAATCATCACATTTATGTCAGACCACTAATTTGTTCATTAAAAAGTTCTTCACAAGGACGGANTACCTGTCTCTTATACACATCTAGATGTGTATAAGAGACAGCGCATATACTGCTGTACATGCAACACCTTTGTGTTGCTCTAAAGATACATATATTCTGCTGTTTTATTTCGTATAGAAGCAAATTTCGACGCAACAGAGGTAAGCAGCATGAGGAAGCGCATACCTCTTACTCACTCACCTCTTACTCTTGCTGGGATCAGGCTTGGGTTTTGTGTCAGGGGCTCCCCAGTCGTGGACGCCCTGGCGTTTGTACCTGACAAACAAGTGAACAATTGAAACTATATGTGACATGATGTTCAGATCATCAGCACAATAACAATACAAACTACAACTTGACTCATGTCCAAATCATCCGCACAATAACAATTCAAACTATAACTTAGACCACGTCTGAATCATCAGCACAATAACAATACACACTATAACTTAGAACATGTCTAAATCATTAGCACAATAACAATAAAAACTATAACTTAATTAGTATCCAAATCATCATTACAATGATAATACAATGAAAACAAAATAAGGAATCACGAAATTAAAAAAAATGTACTTGATGTTTCAACAGACAACAGTACACTGCAGGCACAGCAGAAGGCAGCACCAGCATCACCCTGCCTCACTAGCTGCCTCACCTGCATCACCCTGCCTCACCAGCATCACCCTGCCTCACCAGCATCACCCTGCCTCACCAGCATCACCCTGCCTCACCAGCACCACCCTGCCTCACCAGCACCACCCCTGTCTCTTATACACATCTAGATGTGTATAAGAGACAGGCATATAGCAATCATAGAAACATGATGCATCTAGCACCATCACCAGTTACCCGTATGGTACATGCGCAACTCTTATAACTTGCCTAACCATGAGTTAACGAGCAGCCATCCATGCGTCACACATGTTGCAATTGGACACTTTGCTACAGGAAATATTTAGATTTAATTGGCTGTGGCTTCACACTTCCCTGCTTTTGACTCACCCATGTCTCACCTGACCCTTCCTCATAGCATCCGACTCACCCCTCCCTATGCCTGACTCACCCCTCTTGCACCAGACTCACCCCTCCCTGCACCAGACTCACCTCTCCTGCACCAGACTCACCCCTCCCTGCACCAGACTCATCCCTCCCTGCACCAGACTCACAACTCCTGTACCAGANCCTGTCTCTTATACACATCTAGATGTGTATAAGAGACAGTTAATACATCACGAGCTGGTCGAACTTTGGGTCCTCGTCACGCTGAAGACTCTTGGCGATACTGCGCTCCTGTACGTAATGTATATGTGGTGTACTCGTGATATATAAATGGTACTGAAATGCTCCTGTAAACAACAACGTGCCGTGTTGTACTTGTAATACATTAATGGTACTAAAGTGCTCTTGTACAGAAACATACACGTGTTGTACTTGTAATACATTAATGGTACTACGGTGCTCCTGTACAGCAACGTACACGTGTTGTGCTTGTAATATATTAATGGTACTGAGGCGCTGGTAATGCAGGCGTCCAAATGACGCATCTCTCTCGCAATAATTATTTAGTTCAGAAGAGGTAGATGGTTTGAGTGGACTAAAACCATCTAAATACAAGAGATGAATAATAAGATAAACAAAATCGATAATTGATTTAAATGTTTTTTTTGCAACTAATTGTTTACAAATGATATAAATCAATGTTTTCAGCTTCATAATAGGGTATACCGGGTAGGTACTGCGTTCTGCCAATGATAAAAGCAATAGCATTTGTCAAACAAATACCTGCAGCTTTGAGAATGAATGAAATACAGTAGAGTTTGAACCCATCTTCCACGCATCTCAGATACACGCCTAGTAGAGCAAGTGGGTCACTATGACCCACTTCTGGAGGTGAAAATTCATCTCAGTGTACTGACCATGGGCGCCTGCATGACGAGCTCTATTTTAGCTTCAGCCGTGACGGTGAACTCTGCGAACAGCGTCCGCATCACGTACTCCCCGGGCCTGTACAAATACAAGTAAATTCTCAGTGAAGGTACCCTTAATAAAATATAATGTGGCATATTGTTCAAATATTGACACGCTTTGAGCATGTAGAACTGATACGTTCTGTTGCCACACCCACACATGAGGCAACAATTGCATTAATATTTTGACGAAATTTCTCAATTTCTCTTAGTGTAGTGCGTTTCGAATTGCATTACCCCTGGTCAAACTTAATAATTTACATAATTTTACTACGTTATAATTGTAGTGAGTTAAAGTACAATTGTACTGATGCAATTTGACAAAGGTTAAACCGCAAGAAGCAGAGGATTATAGTAAAAAGTAGTATAACCTGGCGTTGACAACAAGGAAGAGGGAGCACATGACAATTATGAAGAATTAGTGAACTAATGACAATATATGAATCAAGTTACAGTATTTGAACCCAAATAATATTGACTCTGGCAACAGTTACAGTTACATCAAGTATTGAGAATTAAGTTACAGTATTTGAACCCATATAATATTGACTCGGGCAACATTTACATTTACATCAAGTACGGTACCGGTATTGAGAATTAAATTACAGTATTTCTCCCCAAATAATATTGAATTGGTCAATAAATTTTCCTGAAAGAAATTCTTGACAGTGCCAACAATTCAGTGAAACTTAAGAACATAATGCTATTTAATAACAAAATGAGTGAGTAATATAACATGCAACTGAAGGCATATACTGGATAATTATAACCTGAGGTTTGTTTCAGAGAGCTGAGAGGAGAGTGTGTGCGGCAGCTCCTTGCGCGCCCCCCACGGCAGCAGAGCTCCGTTTGTAGCAGCGCCATCTGGACACAAGCAGCGTCACTAGCAACCATGTCACTAGCAGCACACCAGCGTCACTAGCAACCATGTCACTAGCAGCACACCAGCATCAGTAGCAACCATGTCACTAGCAGCACACCTGCATCAGTAGCAACCATGTCACTAGCAGCACACCAGCATCAGTAGCAACCATGTCACTAGCAGCACACCAGCGTCAGTAGCAACCATGTCACTAGCAGCACACCAGCGTCACTAGCAACCATGTCACTAGCAGCACACCAGCATCACTAGCAACCATGTCACTAGCCAGCTAAATTACCTAACTGATGAAAGCTTTAACCATGGCATGAGTACGTACAATGAAATATATTAACTAAATAGCAAACATTTTTCTGAGAAAAACAAGAATATATCTGTAATTATTATATTTACAAAAAATATTAAACAAAAAGTTTTAAATGAGATTTAAAATTGCTAGAATCAACTGCCTTTGAAGTTAAATATTGACAAGCCTGTCTAAATTTGTGTACTTACCTGTACTTTTCTTCCGTAGCAAAGCATGTTTCTGTTTAAGAGGAAGCGCAGCACTCGACGGAGGTTCAGTAATGACTGCAGGTATAACAATGGCTGACGCTCCCATCACCCCCAGGCCATCACTGCCTACATGAGCTGCAGCACCGGACCCATTTGCTGCCTGGACAAGGAGCGCAGACTGCTGCTGGAGAGCAGAACCGTGGTGGTCTGAAAGCTCCTCCACATCATCATCAGTTGTGACATCTGGCGAGTCATCATGGCTGCTTTCTCGACCATCACCAGCACTTCTCTCACCAACATCAGCCACTGGAACACAAGCAGGGTAAAATTTGTAAAGAATTCAAGTGATACTAATCTTAAGCTAAGAATTTTTTAATTTGAAAAAGTCAGTTTTTGTCAAACCAACGATGTACCTATTATTGCATATACCGTAGTAATTTTGTTATTAAAAAAGTATACAATATTTGTTGTTATTGTCTTCACCAGAATTAAAATACATTTAGTAAAATAGACCCTGGTGCATTTAATCCAAAACTGGTTAAGATTTTGCTGATTATGTGTAATAAAATAATAGTACCTTCATACTCTTAGATAATGAATAATAGATATAAATAAGTTTGTACAAAACACATCAGACCTGATGATGGACTACCATTCAAACACTCAGTGATGAAGTTCTCATCATCGTCGGTATAGAGGAACTTAGCCAAGGATGCAGTTAAGACGCGAACTGATCTGATGTTCATCACATCAAATTCATCACACATGAACTACTGTAAAAAATTTCTTCAACTAAAAAGTTCTGAATTTTGTTGTTCAGCTTCACAAATTTTCCATAACGAGATAAACAATTAATGCTCAATGATTAAAATTCACTCTAAGACCATTCATTTCCATATTTGGTCACTGAGAGCAGCATTAAAATGTTTCATATGTGCATCATAGCCCAAGAAAATGATTCACAATCATTAAACATGGTAAATTTAATTCAATTGTGAGAATGGAGGAAATAACATGTCACTATCTACAATGGCTGCACACCTTCTGCTGGGATGCAACAAAATGCACCATGCATATTGGCCATGCCAGCTGATAAGAGATAAGCTCTTTGCACAGCAATGCTCATACACTGATAACTGGCAGCTGATAAGAATGGGAAAACAAAGGATAATTTTTTGTTGCCATGTCTCTTCATTGATTGAAAGGCTTCAGTTGTAGCAATTGGTGCTCTTGCAAACTAGGTACTTTAATAAGACAGTGAGATTTTAGAGAGCAGAGTATAATATTAATAATTAATAGGCAGACTATTAATATATTATTATATTGATTATTGATAAATATTAATTATTATTAATAAGAGTATTAATATATTATTATTATTATATTAAATTATTAAGCAGAGTATCATAATCAAGCATCACAAGAATATTCATAAATTTTGTTGATAAAGCTTGCTTACCTGCTGCTGATGATAGGGTGAGATCTGCCAGATCTTCAGCATCAGACATTGTCTTCTAAATGCATATCTTCCTTATTAAATTTCAGTAATAGGGGGAGAACTGATGGATAATGTAAGGAATGGATGAATCTTTTCTATCAGAGTGTCAGCAATGCCACAAATCAGGTCAAATCTTATGAAACTACACCTGCAAAATGAGTAGATAATTGAATAGCAAATTACATTTGATTATTTACAGATGTAAAATATCACTTATCATAGCACCTCATATGGACATAAAAATTCACAAGTAGCTAATTTAATTTCTCAAAAGCTCAGAAAACTCTTGCCCATATAACCACTGCAAATATCAAAATTAACTGAAAGCAGTTCTGAAATGCAAAAAAAAAGATAGTTCATGACAAGCACCACTCATGGTTCTGTAAAAGATGGACTTGCTTGCATGTCTTGCAACTGATATATGTAATGTAGTTGTCACATAAATCATTAGAAATATATATATATATATAGTGATAAAAAATGAGGATAATATTCTATTGTACTCAATCATTTTTACATTCTAGAATTTTGTCCCAAAATTAGTTCACTCTTTAAATTTACATCATAAGACTTGAGTGTGTAAACATAAAAATACCATCAACCGGGGCTACTCGGGATGGTTTTGAGCGTTTTATGTTAATAACTTCTTACCATGAAACATTTCATAAACAAGTTTAGGCTCATTTTATAGCTCTTTGCGAGGGCTATTGAATGTCATCTTAAAAAATTTCCATATGCCATTCGTAAGGTGCCAGAAGCAAAAAAAGAGTGTCCCGAGTAGCCCCGTTTGACAGGGCTACTTGGAATAAAACTTAATTTTAAAATATTTGAAGCATGCAGAGTGTACTCATCCATTACTAACAGTACTCTGAAGTCCTCCTCATTCATTGTAGATGATGTAGAGGTAGAATAAATGACATTTTCTGTGATTTTTGCTCATTTTTCCTTTATTGATAAGGTATTACCATATACATTGATTTCCCTATTATTGATGCGATATTACCTAATCCATGGACATGCCATTGAGCATTTACAACAACCTTGTCTACTGCAAGCTTCATATCAGCAGCCTTACAGCATTTTTTCTGTATCTGTAAAGCTTACAGGATGGCTTGTAATTTCACATCATTTCAATTGGGTTAAGTGAATTTACTATAAAGAAATATAACTCAGTACTCACTGCAGTGAGTGACAGAGAGCGAATTTTCTTGTTGACGAAAACGTGAAGTCACGGACAGACAGACGGACGGACGGACAGATGGACATGGCAAGCACAATACCTAGTGTATTATTTCCATAAATGAGAAAATGCGGTAACAAATGGCAGCAAAACAAAATAATAAACGTAGGTCAATATCACCCCAGTCACTTTGGCCAATGTTATGTTGCTCAGTGCACAATTCTATCTCTGAAATTCTATGCACAATTTTGTAAAGACTGATGATGCATTAATTTTTTGTTAAGCAAAATTTTGTCAAGGAGCGAGGTAAATGTAATCAAAATTCATATTCATAATAATACGGTGGATACTCCATAATTGAAGAAAAACCCCACCAATGGTTGCGCGCACGCACATGAGGGCATTGGAGAACGTGTAACGTCCAAGGAAAAGAAAAAAAAAATAAGTAAATTGGAGAAACAGGCGATAGAAAGGTTTTAGTTATGGTATGCCCTCAGCCAGCCTTGTACAGCTGACTGGAAAGCAGGTAGCGATGTCGCTGCTATGACGACTGCACTCCTTCCATACTCTGATGGCCGACAGAAAGGAGTGTAGGTGGATGTCGGTTCTGCTGTGTGGAACCTGCAGCTTCTGTTGGTGCCCCCTTGTTGCTCGTGTGAATGGTTGACAGTCCTGAAGGAGGTTGGACATCAACTATTTTGTACAGCATGCATGATTTGTCTGCCGTTCTCCTCAGACGGAGCTCTTCCAGTTTAAGCCTGGCTACCATCTCAGTGGCACTGGATGTGGGGCCAAAGTCTCCCAGGATTCTGCGGGCCGCTCTGCGTTGTACCATCTCAAGGGAGGTTCTTAGGTGCTGCTGATGCGGACCCCAGGCCGGTGATGCATATTCCAACAGCGGTCGTACGAGGCTTTTATAGCAGTGAACTTGGCATCCCTTAAGATTTTGACAGGCGAACGTGCAGGACCGGTTGGCTCTGGCTGCAGTTACCTGGATGTGTTTCCCCCAGTGCAGAGTTTCTGATATTTCAACGCCAAGGTATTTGGTGCTGGGGACTTTTTCCAGCGCCAGTCCATGGAGCGAGTATGTAGTGGGCACTCTATTCCTCTTCCTGGTGACTGACAGCAGGTGGCACTTGTCAACCTTGAAGGCCATCTGCCACTTTTGTTCCCACATTTCCAACTTGTCTAGGTCTTCTTGTAGTCGTTGCGCATCAAGTCGCGATTGTATGCAAGTTAAATTGTCAAACAAACAAAATTGTTTGTTGTTAAATGATTTTTTTGTTAACTGGAGCCTTTGCTAACCAAGGTTCTACCATAAATGCGTTTTTAGAGATGTCATTTATTACCCCATCTTGCAGAAATGCCACCATTTTTTGGGAAGGTGAGCTATGCAAATTCCGTCAGTCACATTTTTAAGCCAACACCTGTGAGCAACTATTATGTCAGTAAAAATTTTTAATATGGCAAATATTTTTTTTTTGCTACAGACCTTAGCAGAGGTACTATTCCTAAGTTTCACATTTCACACTTTTTTTAAGGGATTTTTTAAAGATAGTAATGTACTATTTTTTAACTTGCTTTGTGCTACATAGATAGGAAAATGTTGAACTTTATGCCATTACTTATAGTTTTGCAATAGGTATTTAAATTAGTTCAGTTGCTCCAACAGATCTACAAAATGTCTGAGGTCTGTCCTGAATTACCCTTCCATCCCTTATTATCCTGTTTGATAGTAGCCATAACAAATATTATTATTTTGGTCCATTGATAAATGGCATACAGAATTATTTCCAGTGAAGCACTTTTCAACAGATTTTGGTCCTTACTGGTGAAATTGTAGCACTACATGCATGGGTGAAATTATCTATGGTCATGGGTGAAATTATTCATGGGTTATATTGTACCGTGGGCATGGATGATTTTTTCTCATCCATGGGTGGCTTCTTCCCAATTTTCCAGTCTGGCCAGTGGCCAAAAAGGGGCCAACTTTAAACCACTGATAACCAACATACAGATTGTCTGGCAAATTGCTAGAAGGAAAATTAATTTTGAACATAGAGTTTCTCATTTTTCCTTTTCCCTCCAGCACACACTCAGGGAGCCCACTGTGCAGAGAGTGGATGAATATTGCAAGATCTTTGTCGATGCTTCAGTAGCAAAATTTACGCCATCAGAAGATCTTGCCGACACATTTACATTGAAATTCTTGCATTTAATATATTTGTCAGTCTTTGGCCAACTATTTAGAAAAAAGTAAGGTTTCCGGCACGTTGGATGGATCAGGATGCAGTGAAAATTGTCCGGAAATCAGTTGTGATGAGTTCCCGCCAAGATATCCTATTCAAATGTAAACAACAAGTTTACGATTGTGTAGTTGCGGTCACATTAGAGCGGTCAGACTGCATTATCACATGTTCAGTTGACACTTGCTGTACAATCAGACTGTTTTTAGGGTAAAATTAGTTATTTGGGGTAACCTGTGCATGCAACCTTGTAAATAAGTTTGTAACTTGTAAATAATTTTTCATTACTCACTGTGAATGGCTTTTCATTAGAAATTACCTGGCAACGCATCTTGAAAATGGTTGGCGATGCTTTGGGCTTAAAAACCCATATATTGGCAATGCTGCTTCACCCTCTGCACCCTGGCAGGGAGCTTGGTCCTTACATCCTTGTAACCTGAATCCTTCAGAACAGATGTCAGTACCTCATCAGAGACATCTTCCATTGGCCCAATGAGCCCAACTGGCAAATAGTATGCTCTGATTTACTAGAAGCAACTAGCAAGGGAAGGCAGCATTTAACATTGGCATTCCACAAACCAACTCAACCAAGTTGGTTACCCCCAAAAGGTGAGCCAAGTCATCAGGTCTTTCAGGTGCATGTTTGAACTATATTACGTTCACCCATGAGAAGTTCCACCTTTCATTTCAGCTTTCTCATTGTCACTGAGATCAAGAAACACAAACAAACCCGTCATTCCCATGAACTGACTGGTTTGATTGCATATCAGTGATTGGTTAATGTCCGGGACGGGGACATCACTGAGATCAGTGACGAGTCTGACGTTACAGTCCAGGGTGCAGAGGGTGGATGCAGCGTCGCCAATATATGGGTTTTAAGATGCGTCACTGGGTAATTTTTAATGAAAAGCCAGTTACGCTAGTAATGAAAAACTATTTACAAGCCACAAACTTATTTACAAGGTTGCATGCACATGTTACCCCAAATAACTAATTTTACCCTNTTCCAAGCTGTGTACAAAAATTAAAATTTGCTTAATTACAAGCCTAATAGTTGTTAATTAAAAGCGTAACAAACTAGGTACCTGCACACTTGTGCACGAGTGGTGTGGTACAACCGCAAAAATAAGGTCATGCCTCATGTCATGGGACCGTCAACCTTATACTAGTTCAACCATTATTACGAATTTCAGGTGAGTCATCCTTCATCAAAACAACCAAGAGCTGATGCTTGGGCCCTTGGGGCTTGGGGTTCCTTGAGATTTGGCCTATACTGGCTTTGCCATAAGGCATAAGCCATAAGCATAAGGTGAATTAGCAAGAGCTGTGCTAAGGAAGATTTCATTAAAAAAACTGCTTAAACTTAAAGGATGTGACATAGTCTATCAGTATCAGGATCTGCAACAGGCAACTGGTTCTATTATGACAATTTTGGCATTTAAATCAGAATGTTTTGGGCCTGGGGTTTTTTTAATTGATTTGTAGGCTTCGGGTATGCCGGTAGCACACCTCCCAGCCTGAGCACAAATGGGGTTTTGGACACTTCACTTCACTTTTAGA